TTTCTTTCTTTCTTTCTTTCTTTCTTTCTTTCTTTCTTTCTTTCTTTACAGAAAGAGAGATAAACAATCTTAAAATCTACACAGAAACAAAAAGGACCTCAGGTTCTGAGCAAAAAGAGCAATGCTGGGAATATCAGTATATCTGACTTGAAGTACTTCAAAAGAGCCATATAGCAAACCAGATGTGTAGCTCAGTGGGATGGAATGTAGGGCCCAGATGTGTTTATTGACCATTTGTATTTCTTCTTTCCAGAGTGTCCATTTCATTGGTGCATTTATTTACTTACTCATTTTTAAAATTGTAAGACAGGGTCTCACATACATCACACTGAGATACGTGACAGCTACTTGATTTTTTATAAACATGCCCAAAATATACATTATTAAAAGATAGCATCTTCAACAAATGGTGCAGGGAAAACTGGATGTCAGGATGGAGAAGAATGAAACCAGGCCCTTTATCACTCACCCCGAATATAACTCCACTCAGATGATGAATCAAAAACTGTAACATAGGGTATGAAACTCTGATACTATTACAGGAAAAAGTAAGAAATACACCTCAGGTAATAAACCACAGGTATCAGCAAGGTCTTCCTGAACGGAAGTCACTCAGTAAACAACGGACAAGTGTAGTGCCATTTTTGAGAATTCTGGGATTTTGGTTTAAAAAAAAAAACCAGACATATTAAGAATGGGCTTTCGTTTTAATCCCAGTGGGGGGATTTGGGGCTGCTCCGGGATGTCCACAGCTGCTATGATTTGCCTCGTGCTCTAGCAGAAGCATGGTTTCCCCAGCTGCAGATAATTTCTGTGATTGTGTGGCGTTTGGAATTCTGGGTGGGTTCAGTCTTTTAGGAAGATTGGTTTCGGTTTGTTAGTATGGGAAGTCAAAGAAGAAACAAAAGGAAGTAGATTCAGGGATTTTTGTAATTCCTCTCTCCCCTTTATCTTTGTTTCTCTCCTATCTAGTGTCAGGTGTTGAAACTGAGGAAATAAAGGGTGGGAGGGAAAAGAATACACAAGGTAGCAAAATTCCAGCTGCAGAAAAGTGGAATTTTGTGAAATGAAGGCTTGTGCACAGCAAAGGAAACAGCCACTAGACACAGCCCACGGATTGGAGGAAATCTGCTAGCTGCACATCTGACAGAGGATTGCTGTGTAGACTCCACAAAGGACAAGAAAAGCCTAAATAAGAAAATGACTGGGTTAACGAACCAGCTATTTGGGTGTGGTGGTACGTGTCAGGAACCTGAGCATTTAGGAGGTGGAGGCAGGAGGATCAGACCTTCAGGATCATCTTCAGGTACTTATCTTTTTTTGTTTGTTTTGATTTTGTTTTTTCAAGACAGAGTTTCTCTGTGTAGCCTTTGCTGTCCTAGACTTAAACGGACTGGCCTTGAACTCAGAGGGATCAGCCTGCCTCTGCCTCCCTCAGTCCTGGGATTAAAGGCATGTGCCGCCAATCCCGGCTGCAGGTACGTATCTGAGGTATGCTAGGCCTTGTCTTAGAATAAATAAATGAGTGAATAAGCAAACAAATGTGCTAATTAAATGGACAGAAACTCTCAAAGGAAGTACAAATGACCAATAAATCTATGAAAAACGTGCAAACACCCTGGTGACCAGAAAAACACAACACTACACTGAGATTCGATCTCTGTCCAATGAGAATGGCTGTTACTAAGAAAACAACAAACACTCAAAGAAGCACTCAAACAGAACCTTTAGCACTGCTCTTGGGGATGCAGACTAGCCCAGGTGTGATGGGATTCAGCATGAAGGTTTCTCCCAAAACTAGTGGCTCTATCTTAATCCGATTTGTATCATTTCTGGTCATTTCTCCAGAGAACTGCAGGTCAACACACCACACTTGCAGATCAGTCTTTATTACAAGAACATTCACAAGTAGCTAGTTGTGGGAGCAACCTAGGTGTCCATCATCAGAGGAACGCATAAAGAAAACGTGATGAACACATAGATTTTTTTTTATTCATGAAGAATGAAGTCACATCATTTGTAGGGAAATGGACGTGTCTAGTCTCAGGAAGATGGATATTGTGTTTTATCTTGCTGCAATTCCTAGATTTTATGTGGATGTATAAAATCACGGATGTATATATGATGTGAAGTGTAATTGTTAGGGGGACAAAGGTAGCTCACAGGACAGAACAGAGTTGAGAAGAGGAAGGGGTGAGAAGGTGGAGTAGGGAGATATGGAGGGATAAGTCAAAGTACATTGTGTGTAAATGTCCTTATGTGATCAGTACTATGTAAATCAATATACACCGATGAAAATAAAAATACGGTAAAAACATGTATCTCAATACCAGAAATTCGAGTTAAGATTGCAAACATGATATTTTGCCGTAAAGAGAATTCATATCTTTTGTAGGTATATTTGAAAATATGAGTGCATTAATTTGTTTAATGTCTGGAGTTTGCTTCAAAGTAACACAGAAGGGGCAAGATGAGGGTGAGGTCAGGCTGGAGATGAATTTGGACTGCCTGCCACTTGATAGCTGTTTCAGCTGCGTGACGAATATAAGGAGTTCCTAGCATTTCTTGTCATTTGCATAGGTGTTTGAAGTTTTCCAAGATGGATAATATGAAATGGATAAGGGACGATACATTTGAAATTATGTCAGTTGTCTTTCTCCTTGCCATGACAACACCCCCGATGCGGCCAACCTGAAGGAGGAAAGATTTATTTTGTCTCACAGTTCCCATAGTTTCTTGGTCTTTTGCATTTGGGAAGAATCTCATGGAGATGGGAGGTATGGAGGAGGCTGTTGAGCTCCTGGCAGGTGGAGAGAGAGAAGGGGTAGAGACAAGGTGGTAACCTTTAAGCACGCCCCTCCCCCCAGCGACCCGTGTCCTTCATCAAGCATAGTTTCCAGATCCTCCCCCAAAGAGGGGGTTGTTGTGAGCAGCCTTAGTGGGGGAATGAAATAAGTAGGAATGAGCAGAGGAAGTTCAGCTGTGATGTAGTGAGTCCCACTCACCTCCTCACCGAACCCTGGGCAGTGGTTGAGAGAGGGACGGAACCTCAGTTATATTTCACCTTGAAGAATAAAGCGAGGCTTTATTCTTGGAACTATGCTCCTGTGTATCTTGCTTTAAGCCCTGATGCATTTTTCTAGACTAAGCTCAAATGTTCATGTATAAGCAAACACTTAAGACCCTCATCTCTAGTCAGTTTGAATTCCTTCCTCCATTCTCCTTTCTCTATGACTCAAACAAGGAACTAGGAACAGCTAATACTCACAGCTCTTCTGGGTACTCTGAGTGTTGTGGTTTCTGTTAATTCACAACACACCTATCTGGCAGGTACTATCATTATTCCAATTTGCAGATGAGAAAACTGAGCTCAGAGAAATTCAGAAATTTGCCCAACTAGAGTTATTGAGCTCAGGGTGGATTTTAACAGCAGGTGGGGAGCTCTTGTTCTTGATCACAATTATGCTATACTGCCCCCTAGCTACTGCTTTTGTCTTTACAATATCTTAACCTTTTTTTTTTTTTTTAAAAAAACATCTGTTATTTATTAGCAGTTTCACTAAAAACACAAACACGAGAACTGCGCACCTGTGTAGGAGACACCAGGACAGAGGCTGCAGGGCATTCCCTAAAAGTCCTGGCTTCTTCACGAACTCCAGGGCTCCGATGCCACCTCTGACAAGGAAAAGGAAACTGCTCAATTCCTGAGCACATAAAGGTCACAACCACCTTGGGGCTACAGTGCGAACTGCTGCACATTCCAGCCCATAACTCTCCCAACAATAGCAAACCCACCATCACACAGCTGCTCCCCGTGACCCTTGCCGTCTAACCCACTGGCCTCCAGCCTGCCTCCTGCATACTGCAGAGCACTAGCGCTAACCCCCACGTGCAGTGTCTGTGTTCAGGTACAAAGGTTTGCTCAGGACAGCCCAGGGAGCTTAACATGTTAAGGGGGCAGTAATGAACAGGCTGAGTTGTCCTGCTTTTGAAGCATTCATCCACAGGTTTGGACAGGCTAAGTCTGCACTGTTCTCCTCAATGGTTGTATCAACACCATCCCTTGGAAGCTCCCCGCCCCCTGCTCCCTATGTCAACACTAGGGATTGAACTAGAGGCCTCACACATTTAGGAATGGCAATATAGTCAACCATACCGTCTCTGTGGTACTTGGATGCTCAGTACAAGATACTTTGTCATCTACACATTAGCCTACCATGAAGATCACCATTCTTTACTCTTTGAAGATGTCTAGAGAAGGTTAAGCCTTGGGACTCTCTGCCCTGATGTTCACCTTAGTTTAGTGTTAACCTACATGTTTTTCTTTATCTAGTCTCATTATCAACTTGACTAGGCTAAGTTTCCAATTACCAAGCCCTCTGGAACCTGTCATGTTTTTCACAGTTCTGTTTTGCCTCAGGAGGGTGTGTGTGCCTTTAGTGAACTCCTCCTTCACTCCAGGCCCCTGAGCCCATGTCCCACTTCATTTGTATAACTTTTAAATGAAGTAAAAAGTACGACATAAGAACAATAATCCCCTAACCCAAATTAGCAACAAACTGTAGCATAGCAAGAGCCTTTGTGTTGAGTTAGGAGATCCAAGTTACAGTATAGATCATTATACAACATTAGTTTGACAAAAATATGGAGAATGCCTAGCAGATGCCAGGTCCAATGATGGTACTGTGTTTAGAAAAAAAAAAAATGGGCATACTCTGTCTCAAAAAATACAGACTGAATTCTAACCTTCATTATTTCTCTAGGTCCTGGGGCACAAGGCTTAAAGAGGCTTGCTTATGTCTACAGATCAAACTTGAATTTAATTTTGCTATGTCCCATTTCCTTTTTCTTTCATTCTTCCCATGCAATTTCTTTACCTGGAAAAGATACCTGAGCTGTGAGAAACTCCAGAAAATGTATCAGTCGCTCTAAGCTTTGTTTTGCTGCTGTAACGATCCTCAGATCGCAGTGGTCCAATGGGCTGAGGTTGTTTTTCTCATTTGCTGGGTTCTTCCCAGGTCTGCTGTGGCTTTGTTGTATGTGATTTTCATTCTGGGTCTGCAGCAGATGGAACAGCCTGTACCCTGAGCAGCGATGGTCCTCAGGACAGCAGGAAAAGGAGAGCATGTGCCTGGAGGCTTGGCTCATAAGGCCACTCCCATTCTACTAGTCCATACAGGTCACATGGTCAATTCTGCTCTCGATGGGAAAGTCTAACCCAACCTCGAGAAGCACTGTAAGCATCTGGGAATGGTAATATGGTTAACCACACTGTCTCTGTGGTACTTGGATGCTAAGTACCACAAAGTACAAGATACTTTGTCATCTTGCAGTGGCTAGCCCTAGGAGGTTGCAATTTTCCTATCAGTATAAACAATGATTGGGGATTTGGAGAGTCTTTGAAAGTGGTAAGAACAAACGCTAAGAATCAGATGGTTCCGGGTTCAAATCCAGCCTCTGCTTGTTCTTCTCCAAAACTGAGATGAACATTTCCAAGTTTGTTGTTATGATTAAACAAAAACACACAGAGTCAATTATGCAGTCCACAAGGAATATTCGATAGGTGATAGCTACTCCTTCATCACTCTCCCCACAGCACTGGAGCTTCCAAAAGGTTCCCACTAGTTCATAAAGCACAAAATCAGCCAATAATGTCATACCTTGAAAGCCTAATAATTTAATTTCCAAATCTGTACCCAGAGGGTCAATTTCCATTAAGCTGCAAACCTTGCTGCCACTTCTTTGCCAGCCAGATTCCACTCAGTCTAACCCTGTCTAAAACATCACTGGAGGAGAGGAGAGCTCCCTTTTGGCCACTCTGTGTGAACACCATTGACTTACCCTTCCAAGAGCCACCATTTCATCCACACTATTGCTTACATCTAAGGTAAATAATTCATCCAACCTACTCATTGGCTCATGTTTGCTCAGCTGTCTTGGTGCCTGTGTGTCTCTCATTATGTTTTTAATTATCTCAGTTGATTCTGAGAGTGGAGGTAAGCCGAGGCTTGAGGCAGGTTACAAGGAACAAAGTAAGACTGTGTGCAAGCGTGTAACACACCAGTGCAAATTTAGTATCAGACTAGCAAATAAATTCTTTTGGCTTTTACTGGTGGTGGTGGTCTTGAGTGTAAGCCAGACCTTTCTACAGAAAATGCTCGGCTCCTATAGCGTGGGAAGACTACACTACCTTTTGTTGGTAATTACCGATTGTCAGAAGCTGACGCAAGCTACGAGAGTGAAGAACCCAGTTTAAGGACAGTTTACACAGAGCAATGTGGTCTAGCTCCAGGGGACAATTGTTTGCCATCAGCCATGAGTATTTAATGACCATTCCTAAGACTCATATTTCTGTGGCTTGGTTCTTCTTGTATCCACCCATCTTTCCCCACTCTGTACAAGCTGTTCCCTCCTCACTTCAGTTTTCCTTTATTCCCAAGCTTGCTGCTGTCTATAGATAGCAGAGTTCTGCTCATTTATTGACTTAACCCCACCCTTATCTCTTAGGGGGGAAGCTCTGTCTCCCGAGGCCTACAGCTTCCTGCACCAAACTGAATAGTTTGCCTTGCCTCTTCCCCGTTTCCATGGCACAGATACAAGTCTCTGCCGACATGCATTGAAACGAACTGTTTATCTATTCATGTTCAACTCCTTGATATTTAGCACAATGCCCGGAATAGTAGGCACTTCATAACTGTTGACCACTCTTTAAGTATGCACAGTGACTAATACTCAAGTGTTGTCATTAAGTAGCTGTAAGCGGTTCTAAGAGCTTCCCAATAGCCTGTATGTAACTTTTTTATTTTTTTGCATCTAATATAAGACATGATGTATTATACAAAGATACCCAGGGAATCTGGAAGACTCTTCAAGGGCTAGAAATGAGAAGGCCCTGGCTCATGTTCTTTCTTCTCCCTCCTGCAAATCTTGACTCATTTTACATTCATTTCCCGTTTCTCCCTTTGTTTTTGCCACAAATACAGAGAAAAGGATCAGAAGGAATCTTGTTTGTCTAAGGAATTACACTTGTCAAACATTCTGCCATTAAGTACTTCCTGTGTCCAATCTTTGGTGTGTAGGGTTCTTACAGCTCAGCACTGGACTGTGTCCTTTTCAGGGAATGTACAGTCCACGTGAAGCTGGGGAAAGAATGCAAACAGAACACCACCACCTTCATCTCTCTGCTTTGCGCAATCTGTCTCAAGTATCTGTCCCCAGACTTAACCATCTCCTCTTTGAGAGCTGGCCTCAACATTCCCTCCCAACCTACCTGCATCTTCCAAGACAGCAAACTGCTCTTTTCCTAGGATGACTCTTCACCTTGTATATAGTGACAGCTGCCTTTGGGGGCTTTGACTTGACAGCCTGTGTACAGTCTCTTTGGCTAGGCTTCTGTGACTAAAATCTCTAGTTTGTAGATACAGGTAGAGATGGAGAGAAACTAAACTTGATATAGGTAACACAGAAATATTAGATTTGTACCTTGGTTTTAAAGTTTTCTTCTTCACAAGGTCCCAGAACCTTTCTTGTTGCTATGGCCATTGCAATCTTGTGTGGGTGTGTGTGTGCATGTGTGTACTTTTCCACGTTAATTTTTAAAATTAATTTTATTGTGTATGTTTAAGGTATACAGTGAACAGTTATGGGATGAAAAATCCATGGTGAGCAGGTTACTATACCAAAGCAAATTGACACATCTGTCGTCTTACAATTATTACTTTTTTTTTTTTTGTTTTTGTTTCTGTAGCCAGACCAGCTAGCTACAGTCTACCTACAAAGTAGAAACCCCATATAAAGTACAATCATATTAGTCATCCATCTTTTGAATCCCTGTGACTTCTGGTTCTGTTCCTCAAAGGCAGTGGCCACCCTATCCTGCAGGTATGTAAATCTGTTCTTTCCCCAGTTCTATGCCCCCTGTAAACCAGAATGAACATTCTGGAGCAGTATCTCAGAATTCCAAACCAGGGAGAAGTGTCCTGTCCATGACTTGTAAGAAGAGGTGGTGAATGGGTTTGGAGCCAAGTCCATGAGTGTTCTTTGTACTTTTTACCTCCATTTTCTGGCTGACTTTACCCAAATGTTTCAGGGACATTCCTGACTGTGGTCTTTCATGATCCTGATCTCAGCTTCGGGTTAAAAACCCTGTGACTCCTGACTTCAGTTTAGCTGTCCACAAATGAGAACAGCTATACCTACCTCTTTAAATATGTGACCTTTAGTATTGTTCTATTGATAGCCCAGATGGGGGAAGGTGGCCTTTGAGATCTCAAAGGCTGGGATGGCTAGTGTTAATTATGTTCAATTGAAGATCCACCCAATAGACCAGCAAACCAGGCAATTCCAATTCTCTTGATGAACTGGAGCTCTGGGACAGTCTATTCTTTCTCAGGAAAGCTGGCAAGGTGGGTATGGGGGCCATCTTCTCTGGGACTATTTTTTGCTTATCATAGTGTTATGTAATCAACCTACTATTTCCTACTAGACTATGAGCTCTTTGTTGTTGAGACAGGGTCCATGTGGCCCAGGGTGGCCTCAAATTCATGATCTTCCTGCCATAGCCTTTCCAGAGCGAAGTTATATATAAACATGCATCTAGATTAATTATTTTAAAATTTATTGTGGCATGCACATGCGTGGAGGTCAGAGGACAATGCTGTGGAGTTGGTTCTTTTCTTCTACCTTTACATAGGTTCCAGGGATTGAACTCTGGTCATCAGGGGTGTGCAGTAATCTCCTTTACCGGTTGAGCCATCTTGTTAGTCCCTAGACTAAATGCTTAAAAATATAGAGCCTGTATCTTATTTTCCAGCGTGGTACTGTCTTAGTCTAGACCATCACCTTGCCCCTGGGTAACGTCACCTCTGACTTCTTGCCCTGTACTGTAAGCGTACCGCTCACTTATGTTTAAAGCTCTCCATAAGATCCCTCTCTGTCCTCATCTTTCACCTCTCCTGGCTCACCACTACCTCTAATACTCACAGGGACGGTTTAACCACAACTACACTGAATCCCTTCACTTCTTTCCGTCTGATTCCAGTCGCCTTATTATTGTGGCTCACCCAGGCAGCGTTCTTTAAAAGAACGATCCTTCTAGCGGTCCACACAGCCCCGTCCTGACCCGTTTTGTTCCCTGCATCTTTCTAATATATTACACAATTCTTTTTCTTTTTATCACCTTTCTCTCTATCCAAGAGGGAACGATAGTTTCCCTCCCTCTCTTCTGTACAAACGACTTGATGAACCTGCAGAATCTCACTGGGCACCACGGAGAGAAGTGAATACTTTGAAGCAAAGTGTTCAACACTTTGATGAAGTAGGGAGGGCTTCGCACTGTCTTAGCTGAGCAAAGTTGCCAGGGCCGATTCTCTCAGACCTTCGCCTTCTCATTCAACCAGACTCGCTGACAGCCATCTAACCGTCGAATGCCCAAATACTGAGAACCTGCTGTGAGTTCACAATTGTTCTCGGTGCTGAAGAGGGAGTCCATGACTTAAAGCACCATCCGCAACAGCAAATAATACCTCCCAAGGTAAGTACGTGTAAAAGGACTGGGCAGATCGTCAATGCTAATGGTTCAGAGGTAGGATCAGGGAAGACCGAAGGAAAGTCCAAAGTTTACCAGAAGTCTGAACAACCCTGCTAAACTGCTCCACCTGTTGATAGCAAGGCCACGACCTGGCCAGTGAACTTGAGATGGAGGTTGGGGGTGAGGGAGAGATGACGCGGCAGGGGTAAAGACAAGATGACCTGCCCTGGCAGGGAGGGGCCTCGAACCCGGGTTCTTGACGTTCCGAAGGACGCCTGTCCCCAAGCAAGGTCTAAAGCGCCCCGGTGGCGGCCGGGAAAATCCGCTCTGCGTACTTGTCGGGGCCGAGCAGCGGCAGAGGCTGGAGGACGGGGAGGTCACGAGGTGCATTCCTCAGGAGTTGGAATCCCGGGACAGGCCCCGGGGCCGCCTCGGCCGCCCTCAAGCCTGAGGCGCAAGCGCGGCAAGACGCTCCGCACTGCCCAGCGCTGGTTCCCGCCGGCCGCAGGCAGGCAAAACGGCGGGAGCGCGGAGGCACTACTTGTCCCCGCGGAGGGATCCCTCGCGCAGCGCAGCCGCAGCGACGGGGCGGACCGAGGCGCGGAGGACGCCGGGCCGGCCGCGCTGAGACGTCGCGGGAGGCGGGGGTGGGAGGGAGC